GGAATGTGTGCCTAACTAGACGAGCGTGGGGGTTTGTACTTCGCTACGCCACTGCACTCTCATAAAAATAAATAGTGGAGCGCACTAGGGCAGCCGGTACGACCATGCGTTTTGCGCACTTTCGTCCAACGAACTTTTGCTTGTTAAGGATTTCCACTGCGTTGCACCTTGTCCCGTGCAAAAATAGTTAAAATGTTGTCTGTTGCCTAAATTGTGAAGTTCACCTACCGGTACGTGAAAGCTGAATTTGAAACTTTGGACGATGAACATCCTTTCAAAACTTCAACTTCCTAATTTTATGCTTTCGAGTGATTTTCGCGATAAAACTTTTATGTGGTCGTACGTGAGACCCGGCATACTCAGGAACTAAATTTGAGTTTGTGAAGCCCCTACATAGGCAGAAAACATCCTCATAAGATTTTCAGCCTCCTAGCTTTTATTGTTCTCGGGACAATAATTTCTCTGTCAAAATTTTCATGGGGCCATACTGATACCGAGGGGTGCAGGAAAGCTGATTTTAGATTTGCGAGGTCGTACGTAGGCAGGGGCCATTACCCCAAAAGTTTAGCTTCCCAGCTTCCATAGTTTCCGAGATAATAATTTCTCCCGCTACAGCTTTCATGGGATCGTACGCAGTACCTACGAGCAGAGGAAGGCCGAAATTAAATTTAAGCGGGAAATACTCTCCTAAATTTCCATCTTCCTAGCTTTTGTGGTTCCTGAGTTGAAAGTTGCGAAGAAGAGTCAGACAAACACACACACATGCACACACAAACAAACGCACAAACAAACAACCGTGACAATATGCGTTTCGCGCAGCTGTTGCACAACACAAAACGCATAATAAAACTAAATCACGCACAAGGCTGATACGCAACAATCTCGAAAATATTTGAGACTCTATGTTAGTGATATAAACCCATATTTCAACAATCTTTTGTCAAAAGCTCGAGCCCAGAGCTTATATTAACCTGCTGCTGTTTATTTTTTGACTAAATGAACAATCCGATAAAAA